GCTCTTGCTGCAGACACTCGCAAAGGTCTACAAACCCCACACAGTGTCAGCCAGCCTCAGAAAGCACATCAGATGCTCCCAAAGACCCACAAACCTCATAGATGCAGTGGCTGACCTCAATTTGCATTCTAGTTACCAACAAGTATCCCTAAGCCTGGCACAAGCAGCAGCCAGGCTCAGCTCACATCATAGTTTCTCTTCAGCCACTCTAAGCCTAACACAAGCAGTGACCAACTGCAGATCATGTTCTAGCTCCTACCAAACAGCCCCAAACTCAGGAAAAGCAGCAGCTGACCTTGGCCCCCACAAGAGCCCAGTAAGAGACTCCAGGCCCTACATAATCAGCAACTGGCTTCAGATTGCACCAGCGCCCCACCCAAGCAGCTCCACAACTGAAACAGCATGGATGGCACTAGAGCCCTGCTAACGTGACTCCCACTCCCTGGAGTCGGCCTCCACACAATAGCTTATCCAATGTAGTCATTGCTAGTCCTCACAGACAGTTGGCCTGAGGATCAACTCCACCCACAGATGTGCCAGCAGCATTGGAGCCCAACTGTAACAGGAGAGCACACACAACACAGGAAACACACCTTGGGCATCTGGCTCAGGTGACCAGGGGCATTTTACTACTACTGGGACCAAGAGGACACCTTCTATGTGAGACGATTCTTTCAAGCCTGGGAGATGTAGTGCACTTACTACATAGAAATAACTACACGGAACAAGCCAAAACGAGGAGACAAACATGTCCTAAATGAAAGAATAGGTCAAAACTCCACAAAAAGAAAAGAAAAAATGGAGATGAGCAATATACTAGGTAAAGAGTTCAAAAGATTGGTAATAAAGATGTTCAAAGTATTCAAGAAAAGAGATGAACTCAACAAAGAGACAAATAATAGAAAAAATAAACAATCAAAAATGAAAAAAAAACAACAACACACACACAAACTAAATTTAAAGATACTGTAGAGGGGATCAAAAGCATATTAGATGAAGTGAAAGATCAAATCATCAATCTAGAAGAAAAGGTAGGGTACCCACCCAACTAAAAATAGTAAAAAAAAAATAAATAAATGAAGAAGAAGAAGAAGAAGAAGAAGAAGAAGAAGAAGAAGAAGAAGAAGAAGAAGAAGAAGAAGATTAAAGAGACCTCTAAGGATATTAAAGGATATAAAGTTAACAACACTCACACCATAGAGGTCCCAGAAGGAGAAGAGAGAAAGGTATTGAATCTATTTGAAGCAACAGAAACTATTCCCCAACCTGGTGAAGGAAATAGACATACAAATCCAGGAAGTTCAGAGTCCCAGACAATATGAACCAAAGAGGCCCATACCCATACGTATTATAACTAAATAATATTATAACTAAATAACTAAAATGCAGTGTTAAAAACAAAGAAAGAACTGTAACAGTAGCAAGAGAAAAGCAGCTAGTTACATACATGGGAGCTCCCATAAGACTGTTGGCAGCTGATTTTCAACAGAAACTTTGAAGTCCAGAGGAGATTGTCATAATATGTCCAAATTCATGAGTGAGAAAAAGCTATAACCAAAACGACTCTATGCATCAATGTTATCATTTAGACTTTAAGGAGAGGTAGTTTCCCAGACATGCAAAAAGATAAAGGAGTACATCACAAGGAAATCATCATTACAAGAAATGTTAAAGGGACTTCAAATATAAAATATAAGGTCAAAACTAAAAATAAAAAATAAAAAACAGGAAAACAAAAATCTCCCTGAAAAAGGCAAACAGTGAAAGTAGTGGATCAACCAATTATAAAGGTAATGTGAAGCTTAAAAGATAAAAATAGTAAAATCATGTATGAATACAATAATAAATGAAGGGATACACACATATAAGAGGTAAAAAAAAATGATGACAAATACATACTTGTGGGAGTGAGTAAAATATGTAGGGATTTTAGAATGCATTAGAACCTAAGCAATAATGAACTTAAAATATACTCCTATAAACATAACCATCTGATAACCATATATATCAACTATAAACCAAAAAAAAACCCCAAAAAACATTACATTACATTATAATGGATATACAAAAACATTATAATGGATATACAAAAAATAAAGAGAAAGAAATACAAGCATGAACTACAGAAACTTATCATCAAAATACAAGAGAGCATAAGAATAGAACCAAGAAAAACCAACCAGAACACTATTAATAAAATGAAAATAACTACATACCTGTCTTATTATTAACTAACTAGAGGTCCAATTAAAATTTGTGCAAGGGACTTGACCCTCACAGCCTCAGCTTCATCCAGAAGGATGTCTGGAATAATTAGCATATTATGCTTTTATTATTATAGATAATTATTTTAAATGTAAATGGATTAAATGACATAGGGTGGCTTATTATATGAAAAAACAGCACCTCATATGCTGCCTATAAGAGACTCACTTCAGATAAAAAAATTCTCATGTAAGTAAAAACTAAACAAAACCTGGGTTAGCAAAACTTAGACAAAATAGATTTTAAAACAAAGTCTGTAATAAGAGACAAAAAAAAGGGGGCATTACAAAATGATAAAAGGATCAACCCAACAAATAATATAATTCTTGTAAACATCTATGTACTCAACATAGGACTACTTAAATACATAAAGCAAATATTAACAGACATAAAGAAAGAGATCAACATTAATACAATAGTAGAGTTCTTTAACACTTCATTTATATGCAAATTAACCATCACTCCAACACACAAGATGGCTGCCCCATGTCAAAGATGGCCACCCCCATGTGGACACAGGATGGATGTCACAGGAGGACAGATGGGGGGAGGGACAGGCCTGCAAGAAAAAACAGTTGGGGGAACCAGGCCTGCAGGGGAGGACAGTTGGAGGAGACCCAGGCCTGCAGGGGAGGGCAGCTGGGGGTGACTGGGCCAGCAGGGGAAGGCAGTTGTGGGCGACAAGGCTGGCAGGGAAGGATAGTTAGGGGCATTCGGGCTGGCAGGCGAGCAGTTAGGCATCAATCAGGCTGGCAGGGGAGTGGTTAGGGTGTGATCAGGCTGGCAGGCAGAAGCAGTTAGGGGCAATCAGGAAGGCAGGCAAGGGAGCAGTTAGGAGTGATCAGGCAGAAAGGCAAGCAGTTAGGGGCAATCAGGAAGGCAGACGAGCGATTAGGGGTGATCAGTCAGGCAAGCAGGCAGGTGAACAGTTAGAAGCCAGCGGACCTAGATTGCAAGAGGTTGCAGGCCTGGCTGAAGGATCCCGCCCCTTCCACACACACACTGTGCATGAATTTCATGCACCAGGCTTCTAGTACTTTGATAATCTTAATGCTTTCCTTATTGTGCAGTTAATGAAAAACAGTAACAGTACATGTAATAGTGGGTGATGCCATCATTCCTACCTACTTTCATATTTTGCAGCATTAAAAATATTGCCACCAAATTCAATGTAAAAATTTCCCTCACTCTTATTGAGAGATTAAAAATCTTGGGCAGATAACAGGGTTTCAACTTTAAAAATTCAGCTTATATCCAAGGTGAATAAAATTATCTTTTGAATTATAGCTGGTTATTTTCTTACCTTGCAGATAGCAGAATCTTTTTAAACAATAAAGAACTTACAAAATACAAACAAAAAAATATGAGCTATATTAACAAAAATAAAATCGCATTTTCTAAATAACAAAAAAACTGGTAAAAGTTAAACATGCATTTAAACACTCATTTTTAAACAGAAAAAGTTAATGCTATTGTAATATTTTTATTTACTAAAGGTCTATCAAATTTGTTAACTATTTTACTGTCAGTTTTAAACATTTAGAACATTTCTAATAAAAAAAAATTGCATGTCCAAGGCCTTTCAGCAAGATTGAAGCTAATAAAAACCCAGGCATTTTGATTTTTCTGTAAAATTACTTTATCTCGATTAGAAGTGGATTTTATTAACTTTTCTCAACATATATATTTTAAAAGATATTCAACAACCAGAAATCTGTTTTTCTCTATGTTTCATGAAACCTTGAATTTTCAATAACAATTCATCTATTGCATTTCAACCTTTTCAGGTAGACCAATGACTGAGAATATATTAAGGCAGATTGGGAAGAAAATATATTTTTAAAAGGTTATTGAATTTAGTTGGAGACTAAAATAACATAATATGTTTAATTCTTAATCAGGTATTAGAAAAATAAATTAGTCTAAAGGAGTAGAAGGATATTATTGGTGTAAAGGGAATGTAATTGAAAAAGAGTTCTATTTCTAAGTATGGTATTAACACCTCTACAAAGCAATTGCTACCCACATATTCTCTTGGCTCTGCAGTCTAAGATTTAGCCAAGGGAGCACTGTGTCCTTGTAATTCTTTCAACCTCTCAGCTCCTGTAAAGTGGTGCTGTGGGAGCAAAAATAGCTTACATAACTGAAATCCTTTCGTGATGACATGATTTAAATTCAGATTGTCACCTCCTTGGTTTGGTATAAATCAGAAAAAAATAGTGACTGGAGATTCATGTCTGTCTGTGAAAATTATTTATTTATGTTTAGAACTTTTGTTTCTCAGTTGCCTATAGAAACCCTGCTGTACTCTGAATACTATTTTTGATGTGTTATATAATAGACTCTTCTAGTTCTATTTTCAACCAACTGAGCTTGATCAAAACAGGGTTTAGAATGAACTAGACATAGTAATAAAAGAAGATGGCCAATGTGTCTTTCTTTGAACTACTATCATGTCTATGTTGAACATAAATGTATGCTGCTTTTTAACTGCTTGATATATGTAATTCTTGACTCATGAATAAGAATCAGTGTTAGCTACATATCTTGTTTCTCCAATGGCACACAGTAAGGTCCTAGACAAATAGAACATAATCTACGATCCTAACTACTTGGAGCTGCGGAAACACATACTATAAGTTGCTTTTTACATTCTAGGTAATTTACTGCACAGACTTTTATTTAACAATTGACTAGAATAACACACATAGCAACATTTGCAAATGATTTTTTACCTGGCAGTGCTTTAGACCACTTGACTACTGAAAGAAGCTGTCTCTCGCCTAGTTGGTTAAGACTCGTCAGCAAAGCGCTGGAGGTATCAGGTTTGGAGTTGTCGTGTCCCGCATAGACCATGTCTGGCTCAATGTTCAGGAGCACGTTGATCAGCGAGGGGACCAACTGTAAGTCTTGACTTGGCGAAAAACTGATCCTCTGGCTTAGGGCTTGGCTTTCATTTGGAATGGCCACCGTCTGCGGGAGCGCGACCGCATCTAGTGCCCTCATCACTCTGACTTTATTGAACTTTTTAAACTTTCGACCTACAGAGGAGGAAAAAAAAAAGTTAATGTAAATAACATGCCAATTGTATCTTCCAGCAGAGTATTATTTTTCTTAAGTCTTAGAATCGTAACATTATAGGTTTTAGCACCACTCTAACAAAATAAAATGGAATAATCCACCAACAGCACTTGAGGGCTTTCTCCACTTCCTTTGCCAACACCTCGGCAATAAATCAACAAACAGGTATTGGCAAAATTAAAAATGAAACTGCCATGTTCCCTGCAGTTCCACTTCTGAATATATTTATTGGGGAAAATCCAATACACTAATTTGCAAAGATGCATGGGTCCATATGTACACTGCAGCATTATTTACAACTAGAGGCCCAGTGCACAAATTTCATATACAGGTGTGTGTGTGTGTGTGTGTGTGTGTGTGTGTGTGTGTGTGTGTGTGGTGTCCCTCAGCCCAGCCTGCACCCTCTCCAATCTGGGACCCTTGAAGTCATGTCTGACTGCCCGTTTAGGCCCGATCAGGTGGGATCGAGCCTAAACGGGCAGTCAATCATCCCTGTCACAATCCAGGACTGCTGGCCCCCAACTGCCTGCCAAATATAGTTTTAGAAAGATAAAAGCAAAAATCAGATGAATACAAGTTGGAGGAAGAATGCTTATAGGAAATGGACTTAAGCAATCCTTTTCACTGTGTTTCAAAGATAAAGTGGCATCTAAAGTTTCAAGAAAGCAAAGAGAAACACAAAGTCAAATGAAAGTTAAAATAAATTTTAAAATGTAAGAAAAAATGAGAGATGGTAGAGAAAAAAATAAATAGAGCCATTATAGGTTAAAAAACCTTATTTGAAGAGAAAAAAAAGATAACTACAAGTGTAAAAAAATGAACCAGTTATGTGAAGTTCATATTGAAAACAAAAACCAAAACCCAAAAAAACACCCAAGGGAGTATAAAAGAATTAAAATGAAAATGAGTAGAGAAAAGAAGGCAGCTATGGAAGACAGAGAGGCAACATACAGAGGTTATTATTGGGGGTGAAAATGGGAAGAAAACATGAAATAAAAAAATCTTTGATGGTAATATTAAGGATTACACTGGTTCAAGAAAAGTTAGTAGATTAATATAGAGCTAAATCTTGAGGAAGTTACTTAATTTTGAGGATTAAGAAACACATATTGAGGCAGAAAAAGCATGTCATAAACTAAGAAAAAATCAAAATCTCAGTTTCTCTCCAGTTAGATTATATGCCTAAAGACAATGCTGTTGCATATGGATTTGTGGGAAAGGGGCTTATGCCACACATTTTCCATATTTTAACAGAGTTTTAATGAATATTTGGGAGGCCAAGAGATAGTATACACAGTAAAAATCTTACTCTCATCACCTTTTCCTCTTCCTCACTTTTCCTACCTCCCATCCTAAGCAACACATATTCTCCTTTTTGCCTTGGTAGATCAAATTAACAACTTCAGCATGTTCTTGGGGTCATAGCTTCTATCCCAAACAGTTTACCAAAGCACTTCTAGAAATAAAAACAAGTAAGACATTTCCCTCTAATAGAAACAAAACATCAATTGAGTCATAGTTTCAATTATTTGGAAATTTTTCTACTATGTGAAAATACACACATTTTATTTCATATTATGTTCCCATGCGAAACATTGTTTGAAAATATAAATATATACAATAACAATATTCAACAATATTCAGTTAGTTGATTTAATTTAACATATTAAATGATTATTTAAATTAATTGCAATTCTAAGATACATGCATTTACTTTGCATTGGTTCCTACAAATAATGAAAAAAATTTAGAAGATACAAGAATATGTTGTGCATTAAAGTTAAACCTTTATTTTTCCAATGATACTGTTTGCATAAATGATGGCAAGACATAAAAAATATTTTAAGTCACCGCTTACTAAACTATAGGGCCGCACTGTGCTATATACTTTAGATATATTATTCCTTTTATCCTTATATTAGTAATAGCTTTTATTAAATTGTCTTAATAGAAAATAAAGTAGAGATGTGTAAAGGTTAAGATGTGTGTGTGAAGTCCTATGGCTATTAGTGGGAAAATTGAAATCAAATCCCCTTTGTTCTGACTTCGTACCCTTACTTGTTATAACAATGCTATACCATCTCCTACAGAGGTGTTTTAATCTTTTTCTAATGTATTTATAAGATTCAATTTAAAAACAAAAACAAAAACACATGCTTTTATTGATTTTAAACAGAGAGGGAGGGAGAGGGAGAGAAACATCAATGTGAGAAAGAACCACTGATCCATTGCTTCCCATATGTGCCCCAACCAGAGATTGAACCTGCAACCTGGACTTGTGCTTTGTCTGGGAATTAAACCAAGGACCCTTCAGTTCCCTGGACAACAACCAACTGAACTACACTGGCCAGGGCAACATTTAAATTTTTAATGTGGAGTTAATGTATTTGATTAAAATTGACAATTTTTTTTTATAAACTTCTATTGGCAATGTACAAGATTAGGTAATTTATAAATTTCCTCCTCCAGATCACCTAAAAATTATGGGTAAAGCATAAGCAGCATCCTTTTAAATACATATCTAAGCTCCTCAAAAGGTCATCAAAATACGCAGGAATCCAAAATGAAGAACAATTCTAACCCCTGACAAAGGGACAAGAGTAGGTATCAAGTCTGTTTTATCCTTGGATCAATATGGAAAAAAGTCTTCTCTGATTATTTTTAATTATAGGCCTCCATCACCCATACTGGTAGTTTGAAATTATTCTAGCAGCAAGGTATGGGAAATCTAGACTTAAAGTAAATATGAGAAATGGTCCTTCACTGATGAAATCCGTAAGGTGACTGGAAAAATAAAATAAAAATTATCTTTGGAGAAACTCCCTCAATTAGTCAGGTTTCAAAAAATTAAACTTTGCCCAACATGAGTTTATAATACAATATTATAAAGGATGCAATGAATGAGAAGTAACAGAAACAATAAACTGTGTGCTGGATTTGGTTCATATTGACTTGTAAAAAGTTATTAAGTATTCAGAATATATATATATATATACATATATATATATATATATATATACACTTTTTTTATTAAGAAAATTTTAAAACCAGTTGTTACAAATTATTGGTAGCCTGAAATTTATATAAGGGAATATTTATACCACAATCATTGGGAAACCCTATAAACAATGCCCTTTTTAAAAATTTTATTCTATACCTACCGCAACACCACAATGATACACCTAGATCCTCAATTATGGGACTTTGGAATTACTGAATACAAATATTTATAATAAGTATGTTTATAATCATTAATGATGTATGATAAAGAATTAAAAACAAGAAAGGGAATGGCTAGTAAAAAGAAATAAACAAATTTATAAAAGAACCAAGTAGGATGTCTTTTAAAAATACCATCACTAGCCAAAACCAGTTTGGCTCAGTGGATAGATCATTGGCTTGTGGACTGAAAGGTCCCAGGTTTGATTCCGGTCAAGAGCATGTACATTGGCACATCCCTGGTGGGGGCTGTGCAGGAGGCAGCTGGTCGATGTTTCTCTCATCATCGATGTTTCTGGCTCTCTATCCTTCTCCCTTCCTCTCTGTAAAAAAAAAAAATCAATAAAATATTTATTAAAAAAAAATACCCTCACTAGGGTGAACTGGAAAAAAGAACTGATAAAATTATACCAGATACAGCACAGACAGGTAATATGAGTAATATTAAATAGGACAAAGAGTTATGGAAGATAAATGGGCTAACCTAATACTCTCATTAGTCTTCTGGAGGTAGAAAGAGGCAATGAGAGGGAAACAATATTTGAAGACTACCAGGATGGTTTTAATCCTCCTGGTATCTATGAAAAATATAATCACAGATTTAGGAATCACGATTTCCAAGTAGAAATAAAACTAAATGTATAATCAGTTACATTTAGTAAAATTGGAGAACTAAGTCTAAAAACATTTTATACAAATATAAAATGTTTTATATTTGTATAAAATAGAAATTAAAAATCTGTATAAAATATAAATTAAATTAAAAAAACCAAACCAGCTATTAGTTCTACAGGAGAGTTCTAAAAAAAAAAAAAAAAAAAAAAAAAAAAAAAAAAAAAACAGAATAAAGGAAAAAAAAAAGAATATAGGCCAGAAGATAGATATGGAGAAAAAAAAGTCTATCTGAAATTTTATGCTCAACAAAATCATGATTGAAAAATTAGGTTGAAATAAAGGTATTTTCAGTGGGAAAAAAGTGAGTTTATCATTAAAAAATATCTATAGAGGGAACTTATAAAACAATTTATTTTTTAAAAAAGGAAATGAAATAAAGGGTTGAGATGAAAAAAATTGAGCAAACAAAGAGGTAAACACGTAGATGAAGCTATTAGACAGAATAAACGAATAATGATTACTAATTCTGGATCGTGTTCTGAAATGAGTGCTATTTACTTTGCCACGGTCTTTCTGCTGTTTATTTTTACTTCTGGAAAAATGTGTTTATGTTGGATGACATAAGGTGTTCATGTGACCTGTTGTGCAGAAGCAAAGAGACAATATTACGTTAGATATTAAAATGTAAGTTTTACGGCAGCCAGAAGGCTTTCTGGGAATCAGATGAGGAAATAGCGGGCAGAGATCAGCAGGTAATTAAGGAATGGGGCAAATCTTTCGACATGAGGGTCATAATAAGAATCACTGCAGTTTGGGAAGATAATTACAATTATCAAAAGGCAATTATCCCAACATTAGCTGTCAGAAACTATGTCCAGTTACTGTTTTACTTTAATTTAGCAAAAGGAAGATGTTGCTGGGGTCAGTCCATTTGGAACCCTGCTCTGACAAACCCAGAGCAGTAGCTTTAAGCAACAACGAATGACTATTCTAAAGATTACCCCTATTCCAGTTGTGTGGGATGGCAGTGAGGGTGGACAATCAGACAGTGACCAGAAGACAATATTTGTCTGGCTGGAGGCTTCAATGCGGTGAACTGAGGGGGGAAGGGGGCAGTGTGAGGAGT